AAGACATTTTGGGAGTGGCCCTTTCTGTGCCAAGAGAACTACGAACCAATGGACAAAGCAAGGTCCATGAAGACAAATGAGCAAATCTGGGCAGGATGAAGTTGACTGGCCCACACCTCAACATCACAGAACACATCACAGTATAACAGAGAAACGGTGCAGTCGGACATTTTCCTGGACATGACCAAAACCAGATTATCTTAGAATACCAGACATGATTGCACAATTTGTCAATCCTTAATGGAGTCCACTAAGGGTTTTGGTAAATGGTATGGTAAAAGTCCTGTACTTGTAAAGTGCTTTATCTAGTCCCACCACATTCAGTCATTCACATATTCATTCACTGGTAGGCTGCTGAATTTTGACAGACAATTGTGACCGTGTTCGGGTGGCACCGGGCCCTCTGACCACCACCAGCCGCCTTGCCAGCCAAAGAAGTGTGTTGTCCAAGAAAACAATGGAGACAGATGGAGCGGGAGATTGAACTGGTAACCCACCTAACCCACAAGATGAACTCCTACCACAATCAGGTGGCTCATTTGGGAGAATGTGCGCACCATCTTAAGAGGCAATAGTCCTCGACAGAGTTCACCTGGGTTCGGTATGTGGTCTCCTGCCACTATCTGCATGTCTTCCTCTTCTCTCTTTCCCTGTTTCCTGTCTATTTGCTACAATACAGGCCAAAAGAGCCTAAAACAACTTCAAAGAACAACGAGAAATCAAACTGCAACAGTAGTCCATAGCAAAGAAAATGCAGAAGTGACACCAACATGTTGGTTATTTTGTGGGGATCCACGAGTGAGAAGAAAGTCTAACATTATTCTCAGAAAAGGCAAAGAACACAATGAAAAGAGAGAGAACAATGCAGCAGTGGCTGAATGTTGGTGAGGTGACAGACAAAAAAAAGACAATTGTGTGAGACGTGCAAAGCAGAAAAAATAAAGGCAAAGAACAGGCAGGAGACAAGAGAAAAGGAGGGTTAGAAAAAATAAGAATAATTGCAGGAAGTCAAGTAGGAGGCGGCTGACTGAGAACATTGGTTAAGAATTGCAAAGTTAAAGACAAGAGTTAAAATCAGAAGCACAGCAAAGGTGTAAGTAAGCAATAGGAAGGAAATTAAAACGAGACAGTAAAGTAAACAGCAGTAAAGAAGATGGAGAATAAAGGTCAAAAGAAGGAGAAAGGGTGGGTGAAGTGACATGACGTCTGTGGGTCGAGAATCAAAGCGATGAAAAGCCTTTGAGCATCCTGTGGCAAGGTGTTTCTTTGTGTGTGTGTCGTCCACAGAGAGTGCGTTCATGATAAAGTAGATGATGGCTGAACAGGCCCGGATCACTTTGAAAAGGCCGCTCCGCCACCACCGCCTTGTTCTCCCAACATGATTATCTTAGTCTGTGACAGACACATGCACACACAATAACCGGGCTACGTTATTTGGGGACTTGCTGTGATGTGGGTCTCCATGGAAACAGCAACAACTTAGGTCTGCCTGATGTATAATAACAGAGCACATTGCTACTAATGTGAGAGAGGAAGGAGAGGGGGGAAGAAGGAGAAGGTCAGAACAGACATTTTAAAGACAATAAATACTAAAAACACCTAAATACTGAACATTTCTGAATTTCCTTGGGATCTTATTCCAGCCCAGTGTAAGAATATAAACTTTTATCTCCAAACTCTGCTGTATTATTATGACCAACATGCTAATACTGCAAGATCCTTCTTTTGATACAGAAAGGTTCCCCATTTAGTTATTTGCCGTTATGGATCTCTGAAGGTCTGCTGCAGTTTTTGGTTTCAGGCTCTATAGCTGCGTTTCCATCGGCCGTAAAATTACGCAAGGTGGAGTTGTGAACATAAATTTGCTTATTTAAAAAAAAACAATTTTGAAAAAACATGTCTTCTGATCAAAAGTTTCTGTGCTTCTATATTTTGTTTCTCAACCACATCAAACTCGGTGTATTTATCAAATATGCAATGGACATATTGGGAGGTTAGTCGTGTGACTAACCTCCCACCTCCTCCTGACACACAAATGGCAACAATATGGAAATGTTAAAAAATTACTAACATCAGCCAATACTGATGCTGATGCCAATATATTGTGCATCCTTAAAAGTTCCTTGTAATTAAAATTTGACAATTTGAACAAATAGAAGACATGGAATCGCTTCATATAATATGTATTGTTGGATTCTTGTGGGTTTTTAAAGGTATATCTGAGGGACTAGAACTAAGTTAGCACACTTTTAACACAATTATGTGAGTTTCTAATTGTTCATAAATTTATCTGTCATAGTGAAAAAAAAACAAAAAACGGTTATGATAGCCCTGACACACGATAAATGCAGAACACTGGGAGTATTTAGGCTGCTACACAACTCTGACATTTGGAAATATAGCCTTCGAACAGTCAAGGAAACAACTTGAGGACAAACAAACATTATCCAGCCTAACCTCAAAACCTCAACGAACTGAGACCTCTGTAGGTGAGACCAGGTAGAAAATAAGTGACACAAGTTTGATCTGCCCACTCGGTGCATAGCTAGACTGGTAGAGTATTTTGCTACTTAGCCAGGCTATGTTTTCCAAATGCATAAAAGAAAAACCTTTGCTGTCAATCATATGTCTGCTCTTCTCTGTTGTTCGTTCCTTGCACCAACGTTGGTTGGTTCCTTTTCTCTTTGGAGACAAAAGCTTGGCTTTTCTCCAGGAGCCTGGAATACTCAAGCTTGTTGTTTTTTTTAAGGTTAAAAATATCTTGTGGCAAAATTCATAACGTGCAGGTTTTAAGATGTTTTCCTGCCAAAAGTGCATCCTGACAGCTGGCAGTCCTTCTTCTACTGGAGCTCACAACCTTTTCATTTAATCTCATCTGTGTTTAAAATTAATGTAAAATAAAAAAAATGCATTGCATGGTAGGTGGAGAGTCATTGTAGATTCATTTTTCGAACTTATGAGTGAATTTAAATTTGTCTCAGTTCAAACTGAAAATTGACAGGTATGTGTTAAAATATGATTACAAACCGAACATACCAAAAGATGAAACGTGGGATTTTTGATTTGTAGAAATGTCAGATATTTTTGTCTTTATACTGAGCTATGACTATCTACACTGCAGAAACACAAAGTCTTACCAAGTATTTTTGGTTTAGTTTCTACTTCAGATATCTTAGCACACTTGAAATTAGACTAAATAAAATTGCAAGTAACTTTTCAGCAAGATAAAGGAGCTTGTCTTAAATCAATAATTCCTTAATATTGATGAAGAAATTCTAGTTCCATTAGCAGATTATTTTACTTATTGCATGGTCTTGTTATATGTGAGCTAGTACTTTTTTTTTAATCAACAATAAGGAATTATTGACTTAAAACAAGCTCCTATATCTTGCTGGTTTTGTCTTATTTCAGATATTTGCACTAGAAACTGGACCAAAATTACTTGGTAAGATTTTGAGCTTTTGCAGTGTGCTGTGTTCCTGGCATCAGACCTGCAGCGGCATCTCATATTCTGTTAGTGTGTGTCTGGATGAGTGTGTGTGTGTTACTACAAAAGAAGTTGACTGTGGAATTGGGTGGCAGGTCATAGTAGCCTTATCAGCTTTCAGGGCTCCAGTGACAGAGCTAAGTTCCTTCCTGATCGTGTCGCTCTTGTCCCTCAGGAGAAGTGTGTCAGTTAAGCTTTCAGAAGATGCTGATGAGACTGTTGATGAATACAAATTAATTTTGTTGTGGGACTTTGAAGCTTTGCTAGCTGCATGGATAACCACGATTAGTCTGACTGAATGAATTTTCTTTTCATGTAAATGAGTTTATGCTTCTTCTTGCTCCTTTTCATTCTTGGATTTCTTTTAGATATTACTTGAACTGTTCATAATTATTATTGAGTGAATGAAATAAAAAATCTAATGGAAATTCAAATGGAAAAAGTCTTCATGTTTTAAGTAGAAACAATCAATGGAAAGGCACCCTAAAGTCAGAATTCCAAGAACAAATTGTTTTCTGTCTAAATATAATCTCAAAATCCAATATGACTGCTGTGTCTTTAAAACATGGTGATCACTATAAACAAACTGTTTTATTTGCATTTCTGACAGTTTTGTTTGCTAAAATGCAGAGTATGCTTCATACCTCCGCAGGGGGTCACAGAAAAGTTTCACTCTGAGACCTGATTTCAAAATGATCACGAGTCGTGTAAGCGAGTGGCTGGATCACAACAAGTGTTAAGGTTTCCCTGAAAACCAGCTCAGTGTAAACAGGGCCTTATAAAGCTCAAGTGAAGTGGGATCTTGCGCGCAACGTCACACTGCAGCAGGCCTATACCTCAGGGTCTTTCAGTCACTGACCAGATTGAGGCTTATTTTATTTTAGACTTTACGCCAGTGGTCCCCAAACTTTTTCCTGTGAGGGCCACATAACTTTTCCCTTCTCTGGTGGGGGGCCGGAGATTGTTGAGGGGGTGGGGGGGGGTGCGTTTCTCAATTGATTTTTACCCAGAAAGCACATAGGCAAAAACCATGAGTGAAACGGTCGCTGGGACTAACTAGTATATATTCTATTGAGGGAATGTAATTATATCATATGTTAGCATAAAGGCTCGTTTTGAAGTATAAGTTGCTACTTACAGGCATTGCGTTCATAACAGACACATGTTCATCTGCTCTACTGCTAGCAAACAACCGTACTGATTAAATAACATAAAAGTCAAGCAGTACCCTAAAAGTCCAACAGATGGCAGCAATGCGCCATGCAAAACAAAAGACCCACAGTTTACAGGACACACTTCCTGCTAAAGAGCCCTCTGGTGGTTGAAGAAAAATCCACATATAAACCAGAAAATACAATAAATGGAAAAAAAAAAAAAAAAATTCTGAATGCTATCAGGTATTGTTCAGGGGGCCGGTCCAAATGTGGAGGCGGGTCGGATCCGGCCCGCGGGCCGTAGTTTGGGGACCCCTGCTTTACAACATTAATTTTGCCTTTTTATCTTTGTTTTGCAGGTAATGAGCCATCACCGTTGGGCTCAGTGGAGAGCTACAACCCAGTGAAGCGGCGCTGGGAGTATGTGGCCCCCATGCCCACTGCACGATGCTCTTCTGCTCTGCTGCAGACGGCCAGCATCCTCTTTGTGATTGGAGGAGTTGCCCAGGGACCCAGTAACGCTGTGGAAGCCCTCTGCTTACAGGAAACAGTGTGATGCACAAAAAACCCTTAAATTAATGCAAACCGGCACCAGTATTTTCTTCACTCTAGAACAGGCAGGAGTTGGATCGCGCTCGGATGCTTTCTTACTTTGATCGGCAACAATGGATTCCACTTACACACTGGGATGTCAACAACTTGTTTTGGCATTGAAGAAGTGTTTTCAAAGCCCGACAGTGAAGCAGATTGCTGTGACTGTCAAAGACAGGAAACGGACAGCTTTTACACGCCGGGGAAATCAGAGAGAGAGAAAAATGAGCCAAACAACAAACTGACAGACCCAGTTTCTGAAGAAACAACTGTTGAGCATTTTTCAGAATAAAAGCAGGGTACTTTTCTGGATACTAAAAGGAACATAGGGCCATATCTGAAACTCTTCTTAGCAGCAGCGCTGTGCTCTGCTTTCAAGGCAACAGCTCACCCCGACTCTTTTCTAGAACCTCAGAGGCAGCACTTGGTGGAGTTGTAGATGGTGGCATTCAGAGTGTGGATGTCTGTTGTGGTTCTCTGTTCTGTTAGAGTGTTGTAAGTGTGAACACTAACGCTGCTAACAATCTCTACAACGGCATCAACAACGATGTTTCCTTACATGCCTTCACACCACAAGCAAGTCAAAGGCCTGCCAGTCAGAAAAAAAAAACCATCCACTTTGTTCCAACAGGGGCCCCATCTTGAGCACAATCACAGCTTCCTTGATTGAGGAAAGAGTGATTGTGGGTAAGCTTGTTAGCACTTTGCTTCGCCTCACATCTCTCCATCTCTACACCACACCAATCAATCACAGAACTCCAACCAACACTCACACTGTGGTGCAGGGATGATTTTGCTTGGGGGAGTGAATGTAGAGTTACCTGCTGCACTGAAGCATCCTGGGAAATCAGCTTTCTGTCACATGATGAGGTTTTCCTCTTGAACTTTGACATTTCACTTTACTACAAATGTCAGCTTGATGTCAGTGAGTTAATGGATGTGGATGTTTTAAGGTAATCATACCAGAGTTTACTAAGAATACACTGACACGGAGACAAAATCGTACAATATGTTGAAGTTAGGGTGCTATTTTAATCTGTAATTTTATTTTTTAACTCTTGAAGTATTATTATTTCAAGGCATTTCTACAAGTCATTTGGGATTGCCAAATAAAATGCTTGTATTTCAGAGGTCCAACCGATACAAACAAAACTTAGTGGATCATTGATACTTTCTTAGAAATAAGAGTAAAAATAGCAGTCAGCCTCTTCAAGCCAAAAGAGTGTGTGTGTGTATATATATATATATATATATATATATATATATATATATATATATATATATATATATATATATAATTTTTTTTTTTTTTTTCCTTTCTGAAGCGCATAGGGGGAGAGACACAGTGTTGGTGCAGGGCTTAAGCGTTAGCGGATGTAATGTTTATGATTAATTCCTTAGGGTTAGCACAACTCATGGTCTTGGCTTTCAGCTTGAGCTAGTGGTCATTTTTTGGTCACTTTTTTTTTATGTTTGTACATGAAACAGAGTTAGAATAACTGCTGAATTGTATCAGCGAAGGTTAGGTGGAAGGCTTTTAAAATTCCACAGAAATAATCAAGGCATGTGGTTTTATTCAAGTTGGTTAATAAGTGAATTAAGTTGTGCGTTGCTGCTGATGTTCACCATTATTATTTTAGCAGGCTTCCTACCTCCCTTACTGGGAGGATTGTTCTAGAAAGCACTCAAATTGTCAGTGAGCAGCTTCTCCATTTACACCCAATACACTATAAAACAGCAGTCAGTCTCTGCTGGCTCAGGGGAGAAAAAAAAAGATAATTTTTATTATAAGGTTGAGACAATATCATGTAAAACATTTAAAAACTCCTGTTTCCATCACAGTTGGAGTCAGTTTGACTCTGGAGGTGAAATTTGTTTCAGTTCATTGCTGCCTGCAGAAACTTTAATTGAAATTGTAAGTTTATTAGGAGGCATGTTGGAACAAAGACACTTTGAAATTAAAGCTGATTTTGTCTAGTTTTCAAGAGAATTCATAGATAATACTTATCTTTAACAGTCTAGCACGAAATAAAAGTTAAGCCACGCCCACTTAATCTAACTACAAAGTGTGCCATTTCAAATGATTTGGCAAAATGTCTCCAGATCATTTAGATGCATTACACAAGGAGAGAGCTGCCTCTGGCCATCGTTAAGAGTTTTGTCTTCGTGTTGAACACACGCTCACCCTGTTCACCGTCTCGTCCAGCTCGCAGGTTTTTCTTGCCTGTTTGGTGACCAACCTCACTAACAGAGTCAGACATCTACTGCTGTTGGAAAGCTCAGATAAAATACCAGCTGACAAGCCGGTTATTTCTGGTGCTGCACTCTGTGCTCCTAATTGGACACGTTAGGCAAGAGTGACAGAGTCACCGCGTATGCATCCTCGGAACAGTCCACACATTTACACTGCTGTCCATACAGGGAACGGGGCCTGGATGAATGCGTTCTGATTCATTCCACCACATATCCAGGTTTATCTTCTATTTGTCTCACAGATTTAACCAAACTCAATTAAGACCCAGGCACAGTTTTCATTTTACTTCCTCTGTGGTCTTTTGACCTCCTGCTGAGGTTTACACATGATAAAAGCTAATTGCACCTCAGATAGATACATTTTAATAATAGCAGGTTTGTATTGAATACAACATAAAAACTTGGCTACATAAGATAAAACATTCATCACCTGAAGATGACTTTATCACAATATAGTTAATTTTCTCCAGACTCGCCTTTACTGTTTGCCTACGATCAAAAGAGGACACACAATATAAGGAATATTCCCTTTTAAATCTGCAGATTTGTGCCTTGCACATTTATATTTTGCTATTTTGTGGTAACCCACAAATAGCAAAAGTGTTAGAACGTAAAATAACACAACATATGTAAAGACTCGGGCTGTGTGGGATTTAATTGATATTTCAGTGCCATCCTCTTCCTCTGAGAGTCTGTCACATTAAAATAATCCTCGGCATATAAAAAATTAAATAAATAAATTAGCAACTTAGAGGCAGCTGAACTAGTTGCGGGCAAAGCTTGGCAGAAGCTGCTTTTATCTAACTGACAAGGCGCAACATTACACTTCATTTTCAGTGACGTTTCTGGCAGCTTGTGGCTCAACCTGGGTAAACTGTGACTCTTTAGTGACTAAATGTTCTGCAACCTGACCCTTGAGTTGTTTGGTGCTAACCAGGTCATAAACAGTTTAGGTGTGAAAGATTTAGACCAAAGGCTATGGGGAGAACAGCAGTCAGTCAGGTCACATTTATGTAATGTTTTGCATAGGCTAATATTGTAAATCTGCCCCAGTGGTCCTGTGAATCTGTGTATAATAGAGGTTCCTCTGAGCTTAAAGGCCTCTGGAAGAGAATCCAGTAATGTCTTGTTCACACAGCAGGAATTTAAAATGACTGGCTGATTTTCCAAACCTGAGAGACCAAATACATGACAATAGAATATCTAAGGTACAAGAGTTTTGGTCGTACAGTGTGTGAATCTGCATATATGATTGGATTTAAATTATTTATTTGTTTCTTTGCACAAGTTTGATACGGTAGTTTTAAATGCCTTGAAACGGCATCTGTTGTGAATCCACGCTATACAAATAAAATGAATCGAAGGAACTGAATGTTTTGAGGAGTACAACAAGTTTGAGGTGCTGACTTGCCCTCCAGATTCCCCAGATCTTAATCCAGTTGAGCTTCTGTAAGATGTGCTGGACACATAAATCTGATCCAATGGAATTTACAGGCCTTGAAGGATCCACGGCTGTCTTTTTGGATATTCAGTGGTTCAAAAAGCAGAATTAAAGTATGCTGCAGTATTTATCAGAAATGGCATCTGAGGTTTGTGTGGAATAGAGGACCTGATTCTGTAGTGAAAAGGGAAACTGGATCTTTAAGTTTCTGCTAATGCGAATTACAATGAAAAGTTTTGTGTTTTAGATCTGAAGACAAGCAATAACAACGTTCCCACCCTCTTACTTTCTAAGTTTGATGGACAACCTAAGCAGCCTCCCTTTTATTTGAAATGTGAAATAGACAGTATAAAGCTGGTGCTTTGATTGTAGAAAGGACACACACATGCTGGCTCATCAAAGCCCGGGATCACAGCATGGGGGCACTACATTATGATCAAAGCCAATTCAAGGGGCTTATTTTAAACCAAAGAAATTAATTATTTACCGTTGGTAAAGGTGTGTAAAATATCTTTTACAGCACAGGCTTATCCTCACACTGAAAATGTTTTGAAAAACCCTACATTTCATTTAAGTACATTTCTACAAAGGGAAAAAATATCTGAAAATCATTGTTACACAATTACTGTTGCTACATTTGTCAGCATGTCTATTGTTATATTTTTAAATTGTATAATACCTTTTGGTGAATAGGAGTTTGTCCTGTTCATTTTAGATGTTTACCTACTTAAACACGCTGATACACTGGTCATTCATATCCAGGTGTGTTGGAGTATGGGCACGTATAAAACAGGCTGGACGAATGATTGAAATGGATGAATTACTACCAATTAACTTAGGAAGACTCTACTGCCACCTATTGGCCAGCGTATGAACTACAGCTGGCTGAGCTTCAACAGCTCTATTTAGCTGTTATGGAGAAGTCGAATGGCACGGAGAGTGAAGCGTGCCACATTAAAATAAAAAAATAAAAAAATACAGTGAAATAATTATTTAATCTTTTAAAACTGGAAATAAATAAAGAAATAATTAATTAAATATATAATTAATTATACATGCCTCAATTAAAAGCTAGATATAATTGAGATTTAATAAATTCAAGAGCATGGTGACGGTCCTGCCTGGAGGAAGCTAGCTAACTAGCTGACACTGGTTAACGCTCTTATCCTGTGAACTGATTAGTGATATTTCAGACCAAAGTAGAGATATAAAGGATGAAGCTGCTCACCCAGACTTTGTAGTAAATACATTTCAACCATTTAATTCGGTTATTGAAGTTATTTCTGCACTCTCCAACGAAGATATTGACCTCAGAATAATAGCAAACTTGGATTAAGTTGTCCTGACATGCTGTTTGAAGCAGCCAATCAGACGACAGTGGGTTTCAACCATCAAACCCAGTGAAGTTGACAGTTCCTATTAAATCGTGATATGCTTCAGCACGGGAACATGAAATACGCATGTACTTCTTAAAATAAAATCAAAACATTTATTTCAGGCACATATAACTAATTCTATATTTAATGAAATGTTTCTGAATTTATTTGCAGTTTCAAAAGATTATTGACACATTTAAATAATGCATTATTTCTTTATAGTTATTTGACATTCTTCCCTCTTCACAGCAAGAATTGCAAAACAATTTCACAACCCTGTTTATCAGTAGCTGTTTTGACAATATAATCCAGGAATATTTTGTTTGATTAGTCTTATGCCCAATTATTCCAAATGTTGCTAATTTGCCTCATACTTGGATTTAAATCTAATAGGGTTGATATATTCACATTAACCATCTCTGTTTAATTAAATTGTGTTTTGACACCAAAAGCACAATTAATTCATTTTTTAGTCATAGATGAATAGGAACATTAGGGTGTTAAAAAACATACTAATTAATCAAAAGTTTAACAATTACATTTATTTATTTTTTTAGAAATTATTTTCAGGAAACCAACAACAACAAAAGAACAGCACAACTAAAGAAAGCAATTGAAATGAAAAGTTAAATTTTTATGCAGCTACATCTAAATTTTCATCCACTTCAACATATTGGAACACACAGATTTGAATATTTCATTGGTTTTGGAGACATTCAACCTGCTAACTGTGAGTCTGCTCTCCTGGAGGAGAGCCAGTGTAATATAAACAAAACCTTCAGGATAGATCTGAGCTCAAACAGAGTTAAAAGCAGCCTGTTCTCTGCACATCATCACCGCACACAAGCTTTAAAATAGAAAACATTAAGCTGTGCAGTTTTGGCTCATGCACATTGAGCCTAAGAGTACCTACATTCAAAATTTATGTGCATCTGTGTCATTGTGTCACCTCGTGGACGTGTGGCTGTTCTTATACGTCTGCGTGGGCGCATGAATGCAAATCTACACTTCCACGTCTGGAAGATCCACACAGCCCTCCTTTGCAGGGATTCTGTCTCTCTAGTTCTCTCATCCATTTTTCCACGTCACCCTGCAGTCCGGGGCGAAGTCCTGGAGCTGTGCCAGAGCCAACTCTCTCATGTTTTTTAAGA